ATTACCATAAGACTTTTCAGTGATGTTACAGAAAACTGTTTTCAAGAGATTAATTTGTTTGATATTTGCCATATTAGCTTTCTGCTTTAGCTTACTGATTCAGCACAGTGTGCTACCATTGTTCTGGAGAGGACTATTAAATGGTCAGAACTACCTTTATCAACCAAACTGACAGTCTTACACAACAGAAAATTACGTTTGGGAGCCATATTCTGTAAGCCCATGTTGGTTGATACCATGAAACATAAGAATAGCTGTTACAGTCAGCCAAGAGGTCCATCTTGTTTTCCTCCTGTTGGTGGCAGCAATCGGTGCTGCATGACAGGAGAAGAGTGTGAGAATAGGACAAACATACACTGATGCTTTTTCAGCTTCTGAGAATTTGCAGCTTGGGGTTTTGCTGAGCAGTAGTTGTTGCTTTAGTATGTAATAATGCAATTATCATAACTTATATTTCTTGGAATGGGGAGAGGATACACTGTAAGCCATGGTGCACCTGATTACTGAATGACTGGAGCAGTGACTTTTTGTCATCTTGTTTGTTTTGGTGATCTGTGCGTTACAGCCTAAACCCATCACCCCACCCCACTCCTGAGCAGTATTGGCTACCTCAAAGGCTGTCATTTTGTACTTGTGCTTGGGATTTTTTTTTGTAATGTGTATTACTTTGTATTTTCTACAGGTAATCTTACTGCCTGCTTTTGTGTGGTAGTTCAGCATTTTTTTTAAGGATGCTCTCCTCTTGCTACTCGGAATGATTTAAAGCACAGTTTAGTTTTCCACCTCCCCACTGCTCCAGCCCTTTCCTTATACTCATTGGTGAATAAAGAGGTTTTTCACCTTGGATTTCTTGATTTATTACATTAGGAGAAAGGTGTTTGTTACAGAAACTGTGGAAGGCTGCCTCTTTGGAAACTGCTTTCCAATGTTGTACATGGCAATGAGGACATGACAGTTGGGGCAGAATCCTTTTCTGTGTTGTGTTATGGTATGGAAGATTGCTGGATGGGGCTTTACATCAATGACAGTGTCCGGTGCTCAAGACATCCTGGGATCAGGAAACAAAGATAACATATTTGCTTTCATTGGTGTCATTTTCTGTGTTTCTGAGACTGTGTTTTCATGACACTGATAGACAGGCGCAGGAGTTCATTTCCATGTGATTCAAGATAGGGAAGTGTGAGAGGGTTTTGATCTGGACAGTTCTGCTGGGCTAAAACCTGTTTGCTGCTCACAGCTTGGGCCTGGCTTGCTGCGCCCAGAGCGCTTCAGGGTCTCAACTGATGGATAGAGATGAAAGTTGTATTTACTTTTTCAGTGTTGATAGGTACGGTACTCAATACTGTTTTCAAGTGCTTGAGTTGGGTTTTTTTCCCTTCTTTGGTATCTGCTTATTGTTAGCCTTCCTTTGGAAAAGGAAGTTCTTGTATAGTTCTTTCTGCTCTGGTGTGAAAGTCTTACAAGTTTGTTGGCTTACAGACTTCATTGATTGAGTTGTCTTAAAGAGGACTGATCACTTAGAAAAAAATCTACCAGTGCTACATTAGTTTTATTTTTAACTTCTCTGCTCAGAGATGTTCATCATACCAAGCTGCTGTTTGTTCGTTCTTTCTTTCTTTCTTTCTTTCTTTCTACACCTTTCCTTTTCTTCCTCTGCAACTCATACCATCACCATGTGGTGCTGAAGTGAGGAAAGCTCTTGTGGTGGGGCTTCTGCCTAATATTTTAACTTTAAAGTGTACAAATAACTTTTTAAGGCTATAAAGGAGCAACTTCAGGAAAAAAATCCAAGAGTGTCTTCTGAATATTGTGTCTGGAACACTGTAGTGTTTGTTGCTGAGCACAGAAAGACTTCTTTCTGCAGACATGCAGCATGCAAACATTTTATTTTACATCTCGGTGGTTGAATCCGTTGTTTGGATTGCTTAACTCCAGTGATTTTTACTGTGTGTTCTTTAAAGACCTGGCTGACATTTAAAAATCTAGTCTAAAGTTGCAGAGGAAAATTAAAAATAGCTTGCTTTATATCTTTACAGAGATTAATCTCCGAGATGGAAAAAATTGTTTTAATACTTATCAATAAATGTGCTAGATGTACTGTTATTTGACCAAAGCTGCAAAATGTCAGATTAGATATTAGCAACTGTAAATACTGTTTCTGTTCAACAGCAAGTAAGTTTTTGAGGGGAAAAGTATGGATATCTCGCTACATGAGATTTCTGTTTACAGTGTGCTATGCTCTTTTTTTTTTTTTTGTTACTTACCTACTTGAGAAGGTCATGTGGATGATGTAGGTGTGTTGGGTTTTTTTCTTCTTTATTTTTGTAACTGTTAGTTTCCTAACACACACAGGGAGAAGGATGAGCAGGCATTCATTGAACCATACTAAAACCTTCTAGCAGTCAGGAAGTTCTGCTTATGTCTTATGGTTTGTTTGTTGGTCTGTGAACTGTTGCTGGCATGATGGAAATAGTTGAAAAGGATGAATGTTCCTACAGGATGACTGGCAAGGTAGGACTGCTGCAGGGAACTGAGCCTGGTGAATATGTTTTATAGAAGTCTGTAGCATCTTAAAAAAACAATTCTCAGGACAACCTGCCTACTTTAAAACAGATTGTTTTTATTCTTACAAATCGGGTAAAAGCAGAAATTGTAAACTAAAATTTTGCTCATGTGTACTTAAGCACTTGTTTAAATTGGGTAGAATTACTTTAAAGTGAACTGAAGGACAGTTTTTCTGTAAAATAAGTAGTATTTTGAAATTGAGTTTCTCTGTAGCTCACTTTCAGTTTTGAGCCTAACTTGGTTTTATAAAGCAAGATGTGTTTGAAGGATATGGGTCCTCAGATAACCTTCTCTGGGAATAGAAATGTAGGTTGAGAGAGGTAATTTCTTGTGATGAACAGAAGTGTCACTTGTGAAGTCCAAGCTCCTGTAGTCCTGACCTGGAGCCTCTTCAGTTCATATTGCAGATTCATTTTACCAGAGAAAGGTCTCAGTAAAAGTGTTGACCTTCCTTAATGTGAGAATTGGTCAAATTATCCCTGCCTGTGCCTCTTCCTCCAATGCTCCATCAGTTGAAGTTATTGAATTATATTGTTAAAATTAACCTGATCTTAGGTATGGATTTTGTATTTTTCCTTCAGAGTGTTGGTAGTACAGTACCACGCAGCTGTGCAAGTACGAAGGCTTAGATTGCTGCAGGAATTGTTTTTTTAACTTAGAGTTTTTATTTGCACACACATATTCACCATACAAAATATATAAACACATCTTTCTATTTTACTCTTGTTTTCCTGCTGGTTCAGTTCTGTAATGCTGGTGGCAGCACAAGGGTGGGGAGTGGAGGTGAAGCCAGCAGCGCAGCAGGGTTGTGGCTCTGAGGAGCTGCTGCTTTTTCACTCAGTGGTGTCAAATTAAAGTCCTCATGGATCTGTAAACTTATTCAGCAGTACTTGGTCATTTTGCTGTTACAGCAGGTACATAAGAGATGGTCAGAGGGTGAGAGAGTTTTTACTTTTTATTTTTTTTCTTTCAGTAGGCAAGTTTAACACTGTCAGCATCATCACTTGTGTCTTTCTCTGCTTCCTCCTCTTAAATATCGACAGCAGCCTTTTTTCAATAATGTTAGGTCTCTTTTGACCTATCTGCTGGTTGCAGTGTTCTCTCATTCCCTTTTTTAGGTTGTCTTCACTGAAACCTTATCTGTGTGTGTACTCTTGGCCTGTGTGAAGTAGTTGTCGCTGGAAATTAGGAGTGTGAAATTTCCTTCTCACAAACCAGCAACTTGGCTTGGGTAGCAAAAGGCCATTCTGAGCACGTTCACTTCCTTCCTGCTGTCCTTTCACTGTGGTCCTTTTTGCTTGTGCTTGAAAGTTCTTTCTATCAGTACAAATTATTTTGTTTCTCAAACAGGCATATATATTTTTTCCCTTTTTTCCCCTCAGGACGAGCACTTTAAAGTTAAACACAGTTGATAATGTTAAAACTTGGCTATTTGGACCTTTAATCTGTATTCTTTCTCATGCTCAGGATCTGTGAGAAACTGAAGTCTGTTGTCTGTAGCAGTCTGTGTGTAGAAGCTGAAGTGAAGCAAGTAAAAAGAAAGGGTTTAAAGACATGAATTAGAGGAAATCAGTGCTGGTGAGCATGTCTTTTTGTTAGGTTTATAAAGGTGCTGGTGATTAAGAGGATTTGTGCAGTGCTAGAATGAACATGGTACGAAAGTAGGGATTTTTTTATTATTAATTAGGAAGACCTTGCATTATTTTTACAAAATTCTTGTCTGTTTTGTATCTTATATATAATGGGAATATTCTATGAGGTGCCGTGAAAGCGAGATGGAAGTACTTTGGGAAACATTCTTCCCCTTTTACTAAAGGTCCTGTTTTACAGAGCCCTATACATAGTGCATTTTCTCTGGATTGTTTCTTCTGCTGCTCAAAACTTGCTGTTTGTCCCTTTTGAAGCAGGCTTTTGTGCATCTGTTTTCCTGTCTTTTCTGTTTTGGGGAACTTACTCTCATGTTTCTGTCTCTGATGTGCCACACACTTGGATTTCCTAGAAAATTATAATCCTGTCTGATCTGGGATGCTGTGCTCAAGCTTATACAGGGAAACACAAGTATATCTACAGTTAATACTCATTGCTTCATCTGCTTATTTTGTGTGTAAAGTTGTAAATGGTAGTAACAAGGCAGGAGTAGTGCTTTTTGGTAGTGACTTGCAAAACACATAGAAATGCAAGAAAACATGGATTTTGTGGAAAGATAGTAAGTGGAAGGGTAAAATTCTAAAGGGAAAAGACCTCCAAAACAAAATCCTGGTTTGAAGCTGGAATACCATCCAGTTCTTATACAGGCTTCCAGTCATATTTATGTCAGGCTTCATTAAATGTGGTGGTAAGTTGTTCCTATAATGTTGTAAATATGCTGCTTAAGTGAATGTTGTGTTCTGTGGAGGATGTCTGTCAAACAACAGTATCATTTCTTTTTGTTTCAGATTAAGGGAAGTTTCAGAGAAGTTGAACAAATATAATTTAAACAGGTAAGGGATATCACGTGCTGATGTCAGTCATTTACGAAAGTACAATTTTTCTAACGGCAACAAGAAGAAAATGTACTGTAGATATAGCCGTAGAAAGCCTTGATGCTACTAATACTAAAGTTCAGAAATACTTCAGATAACAAGTTATTATATTAGGAAGAAAATGTGAGGTTTTCAGTTATGATAAATTATATTATTAAATACTCTCGTTATGAAATTTGAAGTATAATCTCGGTTGTGTTTTGCTGATCAAATGAAATGAAAACTCTTGTCACTTTTTAAGGTTCTGTTCTGCATTTTCTGTGCTTAATGACAAAAAGTGCATCATAGTTGCTTCAACTAATGCACATGTTTAGTCATTCTTGAATGTTTTTATATTGGTAACTGTCATTGCACATTGTTTCTTCCATGTACCACTTGTTGTTTTTTTTTATCAGACTCTAAAAGTTTAAAAATGTTATACATGCTCACTTTTTGTTTCAGCCACCCCCCTTTGAATGTATTGGAACAGGCCACTATTAAACAATGTGTGGTGGGACCAAATCATGCTGCATTTCTTCTTGAGGTAAATTACTTAAATCTGCTCACAGTTAAAATTAATTCTTCTAACATCAAATTGATCAATATTCTTCAGTAACTGAAAACTTGTTTTTATTTGTATTTTTTTTCTGTAACTTGTCTTACATTTCAATTTTGAACACTTGGTTTTCTTGTTTTAAATGTAGGATGGTAGAGTCTGCAGGATTGGGTTTTCAGTTCAACCAGACAGATTGGAATTGGGTAAACCAGATAATAATGATGGGTAAGAAACACTTTTCTTCATATTAAATTCTTCTTTTGAACTGGGTAAGCAGCTTGGCTGTTTTTTTGGGGTTTTTTTATGTGTTTGTTTTTAAACTAGAATGCCTTTGGACTGGGTACTTTGAATAGATACCTAAGAGTCATGGTGGTGCAGCCAAACAGCCTAGCTTGACAAACTTGTGTAGGAATAAATGGTAGATGTGATTCTAAAAGGAGTGAGACAGGGTCTCTCTAACTTGAAGAAACAAACACCTCCAGAATAACCTTTATGAAAGGAACTATGTTCAGTTGTTAAGTTTCATGTAGAATCCAATCTGAAAGTGGTCTCATCTGGAGAGGCTCAATTTCTAGACCTGTTGTCTTCAGTCCAGGTAAGTCGCCCTTAACAGGACTAGTTAATGGCTCATATTTGACTGTAAACTCTTTCTTAATACCAAAGTAGCATACTCAGGCTCAGGTTTATGGACAGCAGACCTGGTGATTACAATTTGTACATATACACTAACTGAAAAACTTAGCGCAGTGGCTAACTCAAATCAGTAATTAGCTTAATATGTATTTGCAACTGTGCTGTTATGGATTGCCAATGTACATAGATCTGTTAGGCATGCTCTCCACTTTCTTTTTCCAGCGTATCTCTTAATATACAGTTAGATTAGTTTGAAATATTCCCCAAGGGTGTTGCTTAAGCTGGTATGTTACCAGACTAAGTCCCTGAGAATTTAGACCTGGGATTCCAGGTTTTGTTCTTAACCCATTTGGGATTGTTTTGTGACTGATTTACCATCTTTTACTTTCAGTTCAAAGTTGAGCAGTGGCTCAGGGGCAGGAAGGACATCCAGGCCAGGCAGGACTAGTGACTCCCCATGGTTTCTGTCTGGTTCTGAAACTCTGGGCAGACTGGCAGGCAACACCCTTGGGTAAGTTTTGATAGGATTGAGGCTGCAATCTGTTTGTTCCATATTTGAGTATATGTGTATACACATATATAAATTGTATGCAGTATGTGTAAGGGAACGTATAATTACAGCAGTTGTGTAGGTAGAGTATAATAAAAACTTCATTGACTTGGTTAAAATAACAGATGTACAAGTGACCCTTCAGTACCTAGGATACGGAGCGTTCTTCATGTATATGTGAAGAATAAATTGGTTTTGGCTGTGTTGTCTTTTTTGAATGTTTTTTAGTTCCTTGATTTTGAAAAGCAGTTTTTTAGAGGGACACTATCAATTTAAACCCGGCTAGCAGCATGAAGTAAAGCGAGTGCACTTATGCAGGAAGAATCTTCATTATCTGTGTTTGCAGACCTTTGTGTGCTCAGTTTTATTGTGCCTTCCTCTTGTCTGCCCCAAGTAATGAGCAGTGTTTTGTTAGTTGGGGTCTTGTACGTAGTAATAGGAAAGGAATATTTGGAAAAGTTTGCTGCTCAGGACCTTTAAAATTATACTATATAGTAAATGTACTATACAGATTCAGTTTTTTTAATTGTTAGCTTTAAAATTGATGGTGTCCCTTTATATAGCAATGTAAATTAATCTTCATTACGTAATCACAGTGAACTCTTCGTTACATGCTTTTGTAAGACATGTTGAACAGTGCTGCTTCCTAAGGTTACTAACTGTAGTAAGGAAAATTGTGTTTGCAAACTTTGATTTCTGTCTGTGAATGATTTGTTAAGAGGGAGTAACAACAGCTTTTCATGAAAGTGAATTTGTTGTTTATGTTACCAAATAAGGTAATATCATCTGGGGCTTCGTTGCATGAAAGATAACCCATCCCCTTCCCCCCCCCCCCCCTTTTTGTGAAACCTTTGTGCATCTGAACTTAAAATCCACGTGATAAAACATTAAATGAAAACTGGTATTGTCATGTTTAAAAATCTACTGTGGAAAGTGTAAGACTTTAGGTTTTTTTCCTTGTTATTTTTACCTGAGCATAATTGGTTAAAATTGTTTGAAGCTGTGTGCTTAGGAACACTTCAGGCTTGGTCTCCTAAGGTTTTCCCTTGCATGTTACAGAACTAGGTAGTTGAAAGTCACCAAATAGAGTAGCAGTAGACATTATAAGTATTCTATTAAATAAAGGGAATACTTAATAAACAGAATCTAAAAACATTCAAACTGTGGAGCCCTTAGCTTAGATCACTGGATTTGTAAAATTGCTAGCATGCTAGTGGGCAGCGGAGAGTTGTAAAAAAACTAGTAGAAAAGCAGAAATGAGGAGAAGGATTTCCATTATATATAAATATTTATTCTAGGTTTAGACAGGTTTAATAGGAATAGCTGTGTTGTTATGATTTTTTTTTTCTCTCTTATTACAGGACCAAGTTAGGACACACTTGGAATATTTGAATTATTATATGAATATAAATGGTTTAACCGTTAGATGTCTTAAGTCTGTAACTGATAGATTGCAACTGTAGAAAATGCATCTGCAATAAGTATTAAAACCTAATATGTAACTTTTTATTTAAATCCACATCTTCCCTGCTGAGAGTTGAATTCAGAATTGTTGTGCAGGAAGAATTTGACTTCCCCTCAGCCCCCTTCTTTTCCCTTCAGGCCCTTTCCCACCTTTAGAAACAGATTAACAGGCTTGTTTTATTTAAAATGTCACATTCGTCTTTGGGTTTGATCTTTTTTCTATTTTCAATAATATTTTTTTTAATAGCTCTTTTTCTAACTCATGAGACAAGACTTTTCCTAAAGCCATTATTGAATTGCTTTTTGTCTTGTCATTGTCTGTGTGGTCACTGGCTAGAATCCTGAAAATGTAGATGTCTCTGTGACAGGATCTCATCCTAGGCAGATACTTGAGTTATTCTGTGATTGCATGGTCTTGTCACAAGGGGAAAAAAAAGAACAAGCCACATGACAAAAAGAGAAGGATGTTAGTAATCAACTTAAGCAGTAAAATGTAAGAAAAGTATTTGTACTTAATTGGCTTTTGTAGCTACATGTGGTATACTTTTAATGTGAATTTATTAAATACTATTTATGAGAACTTACCTTTTTTTCTTATTTTAAGTGTTTTTGTTGAAAGGAGATTGGGGATTAGAGTGATTAAGAGCAGGAAAATTCTGCTGATACTGATTATTAAATAGCAATACTACCACATCCAATATCCTTTCAGGTAGATTTGTACAAGTGGCTTAGTTAACCTTGAAGAACAAACGAGCCTTTTAGCCTTTCAAGACAATAGGATATCTGGTCTTACATCCAGAACAGATTCAGTTGACACAGTTCTGTGGTGGTAGGATTAGGGGAAAGTTGTAATTATGGCAAGTTGTCTATTTCTACAAATCCCTGTCGTCTTACTCCCTTGTTTTGATCCTTACTCATAGAAATCAAAGAATCGTTATAGTTGGGAAAGACTTTGAAGTTCATCTAGTGCAACCGTTAAATAACTCCACCATGCCCACTTCTAAGCCATGTCCCCGAGCACCATGTCTAGATTGCTTTTAAATACTTCCAAGGAAATAAAAAAAACCTGTTCAGTCATTTTAGGCATGTTTTTGCAATGTACACAGTCAGTGCTGATTTCTCCAATAGGAATAGGTCCAGTGTAGAGTATATCTTGAAAACCATCCATGAGGATCAGAGGAGTATGTAGTGTAAGATTTCTTTTCCAATAAAGAAGATAACTTGATTTTTCCAATGTAATCTTAAGCAATTTCTTAATGTAAATCAAGTCTCAGAAATTTTAGAAGACCCATCTGAGTATAGTGACTGTCTGTCAATCAGCCCACTTCCACAGTGAAGCTGCTGCAGACCTGCTTTTATAGGAGGAAGTTAATAGCTGAGCGTTACATGTTACACTGCTGATACTGTTGCTTTTAGAAACTCTGGGAATTGGTGCGTACATGTATTTATGTATGTATACAATCTCAACTATATGAGTAGGAAAGTGTGCAGCTTCCAGTTGCAGTTCTGCTTTATATTTCTTCTGTGTAATTCAGAACTTTATCAATTGCCTGGTGTTCTTGCTCATACTGGTTTTGAGAGATACTTTCATAGTGTTTGTCCATGAAGTCAATCTGCAGTATTTTTCAGAGACTGTCTACAAGTTATTAATAATAAAGCTAAAGACTTACTTCTTGAACTAGTCCCCAAAGTATGCTGCTGTATGAAAAAAAAATTATAATCTGAATTTTCTAGAAGTCGCTGGAGTTCTGGGGTTGGTGGAAGTGGAGGAGGATCTTCTGGTAGATCATCTGCTGGAGCTCGAGATTCTCGCAGACAGACCAGAGTTATACGCACAGGACGTGACAGAGGATCTGGGCTGCTGGGGAGTCAACCACAACCTGTGATTCCAGCATCAGTCATTCCAGAGGAACTCATCTCACAGGTGCGTGAGCTACAAACGGCTTGTTGCCAAAAACCTGGAGAGCTTCTCGTAGCATGTGAACGGGAAAGTGTTGTAATATTAGTGCATTTTCTCCAAGCAGTAATGACATATAATTGAGAAGATTAACTTTCTCTAGCTGAATTGCTTTTACTCTTAAATGCGTAGTGTGAGGAATAGACTTTTTGTGGATTCTAAAATTTTTGTTTCCCAAACTTCACTAAGACAAGGTGTGTGCTTAATCTAGATGAGGAATGTCATGCATTGTTCATTTGCAGATGGAAGATGAAGTGAGGAAATAAAATATTTGAGACTTGTATCAAGCATGTAGCCAATAAAGTGAAGTTTCTTGCAGTAGCATAAGGAAAGGGGGCAAGTTAACTTTTTTCTTGTTTGATAAAAAGAATGATCCATTTTAGATTTAAATGAAAGACATTGAACATATTTAATCTCTTTTAAATACTACTAACTTTTCTTCCTGGATACCTGTACTTCATTCTTCATAAATGTAACTAATGAATATTGGATATAAATTGCTCTGCTTTTGCCTCTTAATTCGCTAAAGCCTGAATAAGCTGACAGACTTTGCATTGTGTGATTAAGTGGAATTTGTTAAAATGTTGTTTTTCTCCACGTTTGAAGAAAATAATACATTCAAAATATGTGACTAGTTAATGCATATTAATTCTTAGTTCGAAATAAGTTTCTGGCCTAGAACTGGAATACAGATGTTAGTTGCTAGGCCAGAGATAATGTACTTGCATGCTTTGAATGGCCTAGAGCATGATAGGAGCTAGTGGGCAAGGTATCCACAGGCTCACCAGTGACAGACTGGCTTCTACTTCCTTTCTCTTTTTGGATTAAAAGCCCAATAGAAGCTGGGAGCTTCTGCCTTCACAGAGGTGAGATGCTAGAGGTTTTGATTACTAGGTGCTAGAGGTGTTCAGTTAGCCCTGCTCTCAGGAGGGGGTTTGGTTAGATAATCTCCAGCAGGCTCTTTCAGGTGTGGAGTGGTGGAGGTTTTTTTACTTCCTTGTTCACTTCCATTTTTTTTGAGAGTCTTTACTGACATCCTTGATACCTTACATGAAATAGAAAAACGGACTTGATATCCCTTGTTCCAGACAGTTCCATTCTATAATCTTATGTATGATTTGCTGGTTAAGTCGTAACTTTGCTTCACTTGCTGTGACCTTTGATTTTCTTTTAAAAATAGCATACTTTGTCTACCTTTAAAACATAAGATGTCTAAAGCATTTCTGGGGTAACTCTAAAGCAGACCAATGGGAAAGATCTTCACAGCTGGTCTGTATAACATAGAATCTACTGCATCTTGAAAATCTGTAAACTTCTGGCGTAGAATGCTATGACAAAGAGTTTACCTTTGTGTGCTGTTAAAATGTGCCTTTGGTTTTTTGCTTGTCAAGAGACCATTTTAGTTGGTGCCTCATTTTCACTGTGTTTTGAAAACATTCAGTACTGGTTTCTTGCCTTCTCCACACAGTTTGTGATCTTCCAGAGCTCTTTCATCTTCTCTGGTGTTCAGTACAGGGCAGCCTGTCTGGAAAAGCAAAATTCTCTGAGTCTCAGAGTTAGTGGAGTAGAGCAGAGTGTTTCTGCTTTTGGTAAACTCATTGCATCTGTTTAACAGTCGAAAGGGTTGTTTTTTTTTCCCCCTGCATTTGCACTTCACTAATAAGAATTTAAATGTTGCAGAGACTACTGAAGATAAGCCTTTAGAAACAGAAGGTTGAGAAAAATGGAGGAAATAAGGTAGTTACATGCTGAGGGGCAGTAGAAAGAGAAACCGTGTCAAAAGACAGGGATTGAGGTGTAGTTTTTGAACAACTGTTGATTGCAATACTCTGTTGATTGGCATAGTAAATTTAAACACTTTTATAGAAACATATGGAACGTTCTCAAATCTGCATTTTGCTTATCCTTGAACTACAGCACTAAACATTTCAAGAAGTAGATTCTAAGATTTCATTAGGAATTTCAACAGCAAAGTCTGGATTCAGTGGCCTAACTTGAACTGAGAGAAGGTTGATTATCTGGTACATGATACTGTGAAAAATCAGTGTGAGCATTTGTCTGTATGTGCTTTGACTGACTTTTAGTTTATGTTGGACTTTTTTTAGAATTAAGCATTCTTTTCTTAGGAATGGTGGCTGGTGAGCTGAGAATGACCAGTAACCAATTATACTCTGCTCTTACAGGCACAGGTTGTTTTACAAGGGAAGTCCAGAAGTATTATTATTCGGGAACTCCAGCGAACAAATCTTGATGTAAACCTTGCTGTAAATAATTTGTTGAGTCGTGATGATGAAGATGGAGATGATGGGGATGACACAGCAAGTGAATCATATCTTCCTGGAGGTTTGTATCCTGCACCTTTTGATAAGAAGGTGCCAATGTGTTCTTATTTTACTGTATTTAAGCACTGACAGCGTGCTCAGTGCTGTGCAAGGTATGCAGCGAGGACAGCTCTTGCTTATAGGAGCAAAGTCTAAAGATGTGCAAGACAAAAGGTGCACTGGGATGTCTTGGGGGATTAGGTTAGGCACTGAAGAATAACTGTTGACCCTGTTTGTGGGTGGCATGAAAGTAAGTAAGTTCTTTTTTAGGATCTCAGGCTTTGTAACATCAGCATTACTTACATCTGTATTTTGCTGCTCAACGAGATGCTGAGACTGCTGTGTGGCTTGCTCATGAAAGCTAACTCTAAAGCCTTCTAGTGACTTGCATGTTTTTTTACTGCTAACATACATTCTTAAGATGCAGCAGTTTTTAGAGCAAAAATTTTACAGCTTTTTTTAAAATCAGAATGCCTCAAGTGAGGGCAAAACAGCTTAACAGTTGTTACAATTAGATTGAGAATTTATTCGTTATCTCAAGTTCCCCTCATAAATGCTGTAGTATTCTGGCTATACCAGTAAAATGCTGTAACTAAAAGCCAGCTATTTTTAAGATATTATCTGCCCCGTATAATTGCATTTTATAAAAAACTTTGAGTCTTCTTTTGTATTGGCTAAATAAATAATTTAGGTAATCTTTTCTTGCAGAGTATACTTATTTGAAAACATAGCAGCCAAATCTAATGTTTATGTCAGGTGCACTGCATGAAAAGAACACATCTAAACTCTGACTACATATTAGCTTTTCTTTCTGTGTGTCAAAATGAGGGTTTGATGTTTTTCTGGTAAATGTTTTGGTTTTTTTCTGCTCATCCGGTTCACCAGGAAGGTTCATGGGCTTCCTCCATCTTTATCTTGTCAATCATGTGATTAGACAAAGGGGTTTTTTGTTCTGCAGCAGAGGCTTTGTATTTCATTTTGCCTCTTCTACTTTTAGTTGCATCTGTTAAGCTTCTTTATTTTGCTGTAGAATTGAGAATCCTCTGGTGAAAGGGGTGAAAAATCTTTAATTCGAGTCTTGTTTCTTTAGTGATCAGCTTAATAGCATTAGACAGATGCGTTGAAGGAATTAAATTCTCCTAACTCTTTCCAAGTATTCAAAGCAGGACTTCTCGCTCTGAGCGTACCAGAATGCATTCCTCCAGAACCGGCCTTCAGAAGATAAATAAATTAATGTTAGTAATCATTTACAATAGAGGTTCCTTTTAACCATACTAACCAGCCTTCTACAGTATTAACCATTCTCTTCAAATAGTTAGAATGGTGATCCTTGAGAACATGAGGATCAGTTAATAGAGGCTGTCTGACAAGCTATGACTGGTAATGAAGGTGCCTGCGCTGCAGCCTGTGAGTCTTTTATATTTGAGAAAGGTTAAAGTAGTACGCAGAGTTTGACTGTCCTCACTAGTTGTCCAGAAAACAATTTTGTCCTTGGCTCAATTTTTGAAACTTCTTCCCCGTTTAGACTAATCTTTCCGACAAGGGATAGCAACCTCCTCATTTTAGTATTTTTGTCACTTTTTTCTTTTACCCAGCAGAGAAACTGGGCTAATCTCTTCCCAGTTATAGTGGGAGAAGACTTGGAAATGACAACTGAAATTAAACTTGCTATGTTTTAACTCCAGTCTTCAAAGATGTAATTTGCAGTTTGTAGCACATGCTATGCCGCCTTTGTCAGTTTTAAGTTATTTTGGTTTTATGGACAAAAATACATTTCTTGCACAGAAATGAGTTAATTTGATATCTGAATGTGATCAAAACAGTAGAAGTCTAGCTGAACGCTAGTCAGTGCTGTCATGACTCGACTGTGCTACATTAAATAGTACAAATTATCAGTCCTTGCTTGTCACATAACCCTGCAGGTTGGTTTTTGGAAAAACCTGATGGCCAGAGAAACCTGCCAATAGCTCTCTGGAAAAATACCAACGTTCTGTTCTTCAGAACTACACAGAGCCCTTTTTTAAGTTGTCTGCTCTAGAAACTTTGCGCTTTTCATGGTTTCACTTGTCATCTCGGCTCTGGATACTCTTTTGGAACTGTAACATCAGAGTTCATAGAAGAAAACTGTGGATAATGGACAAATGCTATATACATTCAATTATTAATTTTTTATGAACTCTGAAAGATAAAGAACTACTTTTTAAAAAATGATTTTTAAAAATTCTGTCAAATTATACTTTAAAACTTTTTGATTTTGTTCCTTCCAAGCACACAAAAAAGCAAAAGGCAAGGCTGCTTTTGCCTCAGGACTTTGAGAATCCTGCATTTTGATTGAAAGCATATGCTTATTTTTACTTCTGCGTGTCTGGTGCTTTGTGACCTGAGGTTACTCCTCAAAGCCTTCCAAGACAGAGAAACTCTTTTTTTAACACTAAGAGTAATTTACAATTGATTTTCAAAATAAAAGAATAATAAAAAGCTACGGTACTTTCCAACCACTGTGAAATTAATAAATTCTTTTTTAATACATCATAATTTCAGTAATATATCACTTGCATAGCCTTTACAGTACTAACTGGAATCACATCTGATTTTTTTTAAGGTAGCAAAAAACCCCATGTCTTGGTTCTTCCTGAATTCTTCAAAATATCTTAAGTGAAGAGCAGAACTTCACTTTTCTGTGCAGACTGCCTTCAATAAGTGCCTCTTAAATATTTATTTTTGAACCCTTATGTACTTTGCTTTTGACTTCTCTAATCTCGTCCTGCTTATTTTGTTTTATGATTGTTAGCAGAGAGGCATGTGGGTTCATTTGATACATAACAAGTACATAAAGAAAATAATCAAGGTAAAAACTACATAAAACAAGGTCATTTAGCATAGCAAAGACTTGGAGGTCCCTAGATTAATTTTGCAGTTTATATCAAGTTGTATTAGAGGCTGCTTCTGGGCTTTATGTTCAGTTAATCTTCTGTGCAGAGATTCTGTAGGAGTTAAAATATTTTGTTGTTTGTATAGTTCAAATGTGTGTACGTTTGCTCGGTGATTTCTGCATGATAATAGTCCCTCGGTAGCAGGAGTTGTGAAACGTAGATTTGGAAACATGCAGACTACTTTGGATTTTGGAATTGAGATAAGCTTCTTTAAAAATCCCTTTCTGTTTTTTTTTAAGGAGATAGAGAGAGCCAGGCTGGTGTTCCAGCTGTGCTTGCTGTATTGGCTTGCAGTGAGGAGAGATAGGAACCAGAGCACATCATAGGATCAGTTCAGCGGCTTGCCTTTGGGGAAAACAATTAGGTGTATGTTTCTCTGTGGTTTTATTGATGTGGTTTGGTTTTCTTTTTCCTTATGGGTTTTTTTGTTTGGGTTTTTGTATTTTGTTTTTAAGGTGAACTTGAAGTTGGGTATGTTTTGAATATATCTTATCAAGAAATGAGTTCTGGAGTTCTGTTTGAGCCTGGTTTCCTAGGATACCGAAATAAATGTTTCTCTTCCTTCACTGTCACAGTTTTGCCAATTTAATCCCAACTTGAAAGAGAAGGAGATACTGAAGACATTGAATGCTTGAATATTTCATAAAAATATGCAGCTGCAAAGAGGGGAGAGAACTTAAGATTGCCCCCTTAAGGGAAAAGGTTTAATGTGTGCTTTACTTGGGATCAGCATCGGTCTAGGCAGCACCTTCAGTGAATGAATCCAGTGACAATGCTATGCATGGAGCTATTGAAAATAAAAATTTTATCAGTACTTGAATTGCTGCTTATGTGCATACTGAAACTTGGGGGTTTTTATTGGTAGGTTGTTGTTTTTATGCTGGTTATCCTTTCCCCTCCAATTTTCAGTGGTATTTACTACTGAATCAGGTATTTTCTTTCTTTATTAAGTTGAACAGAATTATCACATCCAAATAAATGTGAAGGCTGTGATTTGATTCTGGTCTAACAGAGCACAAGAGATGAATGATACCATCCCATGGGATTTTTCTGAAGAGCAGGAAAATAAAGTCATAGAGAATTAGGGGGATTGGACTAGATGATCTTTTGAGGTCCCTTCCAATCCCTAACGTTCTGTGATTCTGTGAGAATGTTTTTTCCCCTGGATTCTCAAACTGGCTGCAGCCGTGCAGTATCTGAAAAAATTCCAGTGGTGTTTGAAGGGGAGTGGACTTGGCTCCTATCCCTGCTATCCGATCCTGTCCAAAGGTTTTAGCACCTTTGTTGCTGATATAGAAAATGGAAGAAAGGGTATCTCTTGGAAAAATATTGGAAGAAAATTAAGATCTGATTTGAAGCAGACATAAGAGGCTAAGAAAGGCGTAGTTTCCTCACTCATCTTAATGTACATTTAGCCAAAATCCACATAGTTTTGTTTCTTAAATCTGATGGCTTGAATTTGTACTTTCCTTTTTGGAAATACAGCTAAACTCAAGATGCCTAACAGGAGTGTGTATGTCACAAATTAGCATGTATTTCCTGTCAAGAGGATTTCTGCCTTAGCTTACCTTAAAAATCCAAATACATTACCCATTTTGAATATGGCCGAAGAGTTTTCTTCTATAGTGGCCAAACTTGTTCCTAAAAACAGATTGAAGTTTTTTGCAATTTTTGGCTGGAGAGTGACTTAAAAAAAAAAAGGGGGGGGGGGAATGAGTTGCTTGACTGTAGAGAGTTTGGAGCTGACCTAGGAAGAGATGGTCATGGTGGGTGTGGGAGGAGGGAAGAAGGGCAGTGGGTGACTACTGGGAGATACGACAGAATCTCAGCTGTGTTTCCAGCTGTTGAAGTTGTATTTACAGGTTGGCACTCAAGGTGAGGGGTTCTGCTGTGTTACCCTTGCAGAAAGACAGTGGAAAATAGAGTAGCAGGCAGGATAAGGCAGCTCTGAGCAATCTGAAGTGTTTTAGTCAGAGCCTGTTTGCCAAATCCAGACTTTTTTACTAGGATTTCCAAGCAGTCTGTCAAGGATGACTTCCTACTGCATGAACCATTGGTTCCCAAATTGTGTGCTTTTAGAAGCACAGGCTGCACTTGAGCAGATTACTTATTTAATGCAAAAAGCATTCGTGCAGGTCGTCTTGCTTTGAAATCCACAGTGCTCACTGGTTACAGCGCTGTTTTTCTGGGAACAGCTGATTGTAGTTGGTATCCGTTGTGTTTTCTGGAGACGAAAGTTTAGAAATTTTAAGGGTGAATATTCACATGTGCAAGGATGTCAAGTCTCCAACAGTTTCGTGATCAATAAGTGGAACAGTAAAGTGAATCAACAGTGGCTCAAAGTGTGGGCTTCTGTTTTTGGATACCTTCTCCTTTGTGTTCCTCCCCTCTCCCAGTGTTCATTCCAGACACTGAGAAAAAGACCCATAATAGTTCCTACTGTAAATAATGCTTTTATTAGAATCCAAACCTTGATTTCTAGGCACTGTTTTATTTAATGCTTACGATGAGGTCGAGGCTGAGAGCTGGATGTGTTGAAATCATACGTGCTCCTTCTGTGTGTCCTAACGTGACTGTGTGTAGCCTCATGTTAGCCTCATGGGTGGTTTAAGCAGATGAGCTTGTCCTGCTGCCTGAAGGAGTCATCCTGCCATTCCCTCGTGTGGTGGTGAGGTTCGTCTTCCTGTAGGGGTTAGCTGAAACCTGATTTGGGGAGTCTGTAGTCTGATTTGCTTGAAAGTTTGGGAAGGGGTGGAACTGTCTCTCCTTTGGCAGCAGTAAGGTCTGGTCATCTTTGCCGTGTGTAGCGAAGCGTCACTTTAGGGGCTCTCTGGACTACCTGGTAAAGTCAGGCTGAAGATTGCTTCCCTCCTTACTTCTATACCCTATGAAGTGTTGTTTCAAGCCAGGGGATGGTTGTAGATTTAGAAATCCCACCTTGCTCCAAAAAAGCACCTGCCACAGGGGTGAAGGAGGGAAGTAGGATTGTCATCTCTGTAGCAGCAGGATGGTAGTCAGATTTAGGTGTCTTGTCAGTCCGTATTGCTGAACTTCAATAAATTATATGATTTTTCAGTAGCTTCTTTTGTGTGTGGTTAGTAGTTTAGTAAACAGAAGGAAAATGTTTTATACTTTAAGAATGATCAGTACTGCAGAGAAACTCAAGTTTTCTAACATAGAAGCTAGGGCAGTCACAGTATTTAAGTTCATCTTTTTGGTTTTTCTGGTTGGTGTTTTTTTATAACTGCATGGTATTAAAAATGGTGCTTTTTCCAGATAACCATTGTTCTTAATGTAGCTACTTCATTTAAAACTTTGTGCTGGGAGCTGCAAGCTACTGGCCTGTGACTGAAACAAGTGCGTCACTCTCTGAAAGACACATCCCACGGAGGAACGAACTGTCTTTGACATTGGATTTGGCTTTGTGAAGGCCATCAAGCTTTCACCATCAATTCTGTCCTCCTTAATTCTAGGTCATCTCTGGAGTTCTGCGTTGCATGAGTGTGCGTGTGCACATGTATGGATGTGTATCTCTTCTCCTAGCGCTTTGTTATTTCAAGTGGCAGGCTAAAGTCTGAATTTCTTTCTCACAGAACAATATGTTTTGGACAAGTCTTGTTTGGGAAATGTGGCTCGAGAAGTGA